GCTGAGATTCTCTCTGGTTTCCTTTGGTGTAGCTGGCACATGTGGAGCAAAGGGTCTGGGCAAAAGTACATCCTTAGAAGGGTCCAGTACAAATCATGTGGCAAAATTAGCGATTTCTATATTAGATACAGGAATGTATTTTTCTACCACCTCTTTCAGCACTACTCCTGTATTCCTTCAACATACCCTGTAAGCAGTCCCAGTGTTCTGTGATTGATGCCATAAGGGACTTGCTAACAGGGAACAAACACCTCTGAGACAAAAGGTGCCACCACGGAAAGGTCTTGCTGGCCAAGAAGTGCCCAGGCTGCCACAACAAATACACCTGAAGCCAAAGGATCTAGACTTTTTTTCCTGGTGGAAAGAGCTGCTGGTCCCTTTTTTCTGCCCTGCCCTGCAATGGCCGGTAACACCTCCGGAAAAATTGAATCCAACTGAAGATTCCTGCCAGACAAAAGGTGCCACCACAGAAAGTTCTTGCTGACCAAGAAGTGCCCAGGCTGCACCTCGAAGCCAAAGCTTCCAGACTTTTTTCCCGGTGGAAAGAGCTGCTGTTCCCTTTTTTCTGCCCTGCGCTGCAACATCCGGTCCCACCTCCTGGAAAATTTACTCTAAATCAAGATTGCTGACAGAAAAAATGTGCAACCACAGAAAAATCTTCCGGCTCATGAAGTGCCTTGGCTGCCCAAAACTGCACCTCAAAGCCAAAGCTTCCAGACTTTTCTTCCTGGTGGAAAGAGCTGCTGTTCCCTTTTTTCAGGCCTGCACTGCAACATCCGGTCCCACCTCCTGGAAAATTTACTCTAAATGAAGATTCCTGCCGGACAAAAGATGCCACCACAGAAAGGCCTTCCTACCCAAGGAGTGCCAAGGCTGCCCCAAAAACTACACCTGAAGTCAGAGCTTCCAGACTTTTTTTCCTGGTGGAAAGAGCTGCTGTTCCCTTTTTTCAGCCCAGCGCTGCAATGGCCGGTCCCACCTCCTAAAAAATTGAATCCAAATGAAGATTCCTGTCATACAAAAGGTGCCACCACAGAAAAATATTCCTACCTAAGAAGTGCCTTGGCTGCAACAACTACACCTGAAGTCAAAGGATCCAGACATTTTTTCCTGGTACAAAGAGCTGCTGTTCCATTTTTTCAGCCCTGCTCTGCAATATCCGGTACCACCTCCTTGAAAATTGAATCCAGCTGAAGATTCCTGCCAGACAAAAGGTGCCACCACAGAAAAATCTTCCTACCCCAGAAGTGCCCAGGCTACCCAAAACTGCACCTCAAAGCCAAAGCTTCCAGACTTTTTCTAGTGGTGGAAAGAGCTGCTATTCCCTTTTTTCAGGCCTGCTCTGCAATGGCCAATCCCACCTCCTGGAAAATTTATTCTAAATGACGATTCCTGCCAGACTAAAGTTGGCACTACAGAAAGGTCTCCCTGCTCAAGAAGTACCCAGGCTGCCCAAAATTGCACCTCAAAGCCAAAGCTTCCAGACTGTTTTTCTTGGTGGAAAGAGCTGCTGTTTCCTTTTTTCAGCCCTGCGATGCAATGACCGGTCCCACCTCCTAAAAAATTGAATCCATATGAAGATTCCTGCCAGACAAAAGGTGCCACCACAGAAAAATCTTCCTACCCAAGAAGTGCCTTGGCTGCAACAACTACACCTGAAGTCAAAGGATCCAGACATTTTTTCCCAGTAGAAAGAGCTGCTGTTCCCTTTTTTAAGCCCTGCTCTGCAATATCCGGTCCCACCTCCTTGAAAATTGAATCCAACTGAAGATTCCTGCCAGACTAAAGGTGCCACCACAGAAAAATCTTCCTGCCCAAAAGTTCCCCGGCTGCCCCAACAACTGCACCTCATATCTAAAGCTTCCAGAGTTTTTTTCCTGGTGGAAAGAGCTGCTGTTCCCTTTTTTCAGGCCTGCGCTGCAACATCCGGTCCCTCCTCCTGCAAAATTTATTCTAAATGAAGATTCCCACCAGACAAAAGGTGCCACCACAGAAAGGTCTTCCTCCTCAAGAAGTGCCCAGGCTGCCCCAAAAACTACACCTGAAGTCAAAGCTTCCAGACATTTTTTCCTGGTAGAAAGAGCTGCTGTTCCCTTTTTTCTGCCCTGCTCTGCAATGGCCGGTCCCACCTCCTGAAAAATTGAATCCAAATGACGATTCGTGCCAGAGAAAACATGCCACCGCAGAAAGATCTTCCTGCTCAAGATGTGCCCAGGCTGCCCCAACAACTGCACGTCGAAGCCAAAGCTTTCAGACTTTTTTTCCTGGTGGAAATAGAGAGTGTTCCCTTTTTTCAGGCGTGCGCTGCAATGGCCGGTCCCACCTCTTGGAAAATGGAATGTAAATGAAGATTCCTGCCAGACAAAAGGTGCAACCACAGAAAGGTCTTCCTGCCCAAGAAGTGCCCACGCTGCCCAAAACTGCAACTCAAAGCCAAAGGAGCCAGACTTTTTTCCTGGCGGAAAACCTCTCTGTTCCCTTTTTTCTGCTCTGCGGTGCAATGGCTTGTCCCACCTCCTGGAAAATTTACTCTAACTGAAGATTCCTGCCGGACAAAAGGTGTCACCACAGAAAAGTCTTCCTCTCCAAGCATTGCCCAGGCTGCCCCAACAACTGCACCTCAAAGCCAAAGCTTCCAGACTTTTTTTCCAGGTGGAAAGAGCTGCTGTTCCCTTTTTTCTGCCCAGCGCTGCAATGGCCGGT